TAAGCTTTTTTTGAATACATTTTCTCTTTAAAGAAAATCTCGACGTTTCGTGTTTTAAAATTGCATTTGTGATTGTGATTATTATAAAAAATATCATAATTTTGATTTCTTAAAGTCCACTAACAATTGGCGGATGCGCTTTTGCCAATCTTGAATAAAACAGGGTGAAAATTAAAAGTAGAAAGGGGTGCGTTATTGCTGTTATTAGTTTTGAGGGAAAACAAGAAACATTACAATTTACGTATTTAATCCGCTGTCAAGAAAGTTATAATTTCACCATCTCTTGATTGATACTGGTACGAGACAATAAACTGAAAACGGGTCTTTTTATGAACAGTCAAATCGATTTTTTCTAGGTAAAATGCATGAAAATCTTAGGTTTATTGAGAAAAAGTTTTATAAGTTACAGCATGGTTAGATAAATATTAAAGACAGTCAACAGTTCCCATTTAATTTGCAAGCAAAATATTTTTTTCCTATTTCCTAAATAATGAAAATATTTTTCCGAGTTTCCTTTTCTGAAAAGAAGACATGCGTATATGTAATTCCTACATTTCTAATTCACATTCAGGTAAGTGAGTACTACCTTTATTGAAACTTACTTAATATTTGTTTACTCTTGTTTTTTTTTCCAGTTGTCAATTTATTTAACAATTATTAAATGTATTATAGCGAAAAAGGAAACAAGAACATATTTTGAAAGTTTTCTCAAATTAACAAGATATCTGAAGGCAGCCTCTGATTAAGCTTAACTTTACTGTAGGGTCGCCCCATGCCGCTATGATCTCATTCATCACAAGCATACTAATAGTGGATCTTTGCTTTGCATTGACAAATATCACCGGTAAGTAATAAAACATGTACATACTATTTATGTTATTCATCTCTTTCTTCTGATCGATTGATTGATTGAATAAAAGTTTAATTTCTTTGTCGAGTTTCATTTTGTTTAAAGATTATATATTGCTGTTGCTTTCATTTACTGTATATGTACATGTTAAAAACAGTTTCTTTTATTATTGTATTTGAAAAGAAATCTCCATTACCCTTGATTACATTTATTTTTTTTTTCAAGTGTCGTTTGAAAAGGATGCATGCGAGTCCAGTAAACGAGCAGTAAGCGACACAACAATATACCACGTGACATATGACGGTTCGCCAATAGATCATCTGTTGTGTAATATGATGAAATTCTATGGCGGAGATGCTTCCCTCATCAATGAATACAAAGTCTGTATCTCTCTTATCCATTACGAAGATCCCGACTGTGCAATATGGTTTGGATACATTTTAACACCAGAAGAAACAAGAGTTTGTAACTTACGATTAAAGTGCACATTGATTTTGAAATCAATTTTGAAATATACCTTTTGAACTAATATATACATATTCCTGATTAAAAAAAAAAGTATATGTGCCCTCATTCTTTTAATTTTTTTTTTTAACAACAAATCACTGATTTAATAATGACTTATGAGAAAATATATCACCTCGGAACATTATTTTTTTTACAAAGATTTTTAACTGTACTGTGCGTCCTTCTGCAACGTGGTGCTGCAAGGGCACAGATATGATGAGGATACAAATAAAATCCCAAAATAACTTTACCTCTACAGAGAATGTCAGATTCAGAATGACCGTATTTGGAAAGCTATTGACTAACTGTAAGTTTAGAATATTCTTTCATGTTATTTTTACATTGCTACATCTTTGATCGTAATTTATCAAAAAAGATTAATCATATACTTAATCTTTTTTTCTCGAAATTTACGTGTATATTTGGTACCTAACCATTGCTTACTTTGAAGGATAAACTTGAGTGTTTCATAGTGCCATATGATAAAATTATTACTTTTTTTTTAATTTTTTTTTTTATAAATAATTTCACCTTCAGAAAAATATATCATTTATTCTAAATGTTCTATTTTGATATTGTTTGATTTGTTAGCATTTTATTTTACAGACGTCCTTATCCTATCAGTATCAATTGGAGGCAGTATTGGCGGACTGATTCTTACCTACATTTTTGTCAAACTATTTTTATACATAAGAAAGACTACAAGATATTAAATGATTTTCATTCTACATTCTTATGGCTCCAGTACAGTTTGGGAAGACTCAAAATGTTTTTTATGAAACTTTGAATATTTTTGTTTCTAGATAATTGGAAAAATATTGTGTTATATGTTTCATTTTCAAACATAATTGCCTCTGTTCTCTGTCACAACTCAAGAATAAAGAATAATGAATTACATGCCATTTTAAACGCAAATAAGTATATATTTTTTATTCATTGTTTTATGAACCCAATAGCAAAACATTGGATGAACGAAATTAGAAAATCTTTAAAATGTTCCTTATTGAAAGATAAGATAATGTCATTCTACACTTTTCTTCACGTATTTCCAATATTGGGTATGTTTTAGCTCAGCTATAACCTTTACATCAAGAATAAATCTGACAGGTTCATGCCAAGAAAATAAATAAGAAAGAATGCATGCAGAACAGAAAAGAGAATCATTTTCTTTTACAACACTTTATACGTCTTTTAAATTCATCTGAAAATACGTCTTGCTCATTAAAAACGTAAGCTTCAGACAGACTCCCCACTTCTAATTATGCAATACTCATGGCTGGTCAACATGCCCCATCTGTATGCAAAATAATTATACAGTCTTCAGAATAAGTTACGGTTCACTCTTCCTTTCCCTCTCTCTCATGCACAACATACCTGCTGCCCGTTTAAATTTCCTGTTATTCTGTTAATTTTAGTTTCGTGGAACGAAAAACCCACGAATCCATTACCTCCATGGATTTTTTTTATTTCAAACTTGATATCTTTTTATAAAGCATGAAAATTTGATTTCATGAAATTATGTGATTTTGCAGATGTTTGTTCTTTCTCCGGAGTAATCTGATCGAACGATTGACGATTCAGAACCTGGAATTGTAGAACTTTGTAGAACTTTCAGGTTAAATTTATAATACTGTGTAAGATGAATGTTCGAAATGTTCGCGGACAGTATCAGTCTTTGTTATATTGAAGAAATCTTAATTAAGCATATTAACGCATACGTAATTTCTTGGTAATGTGTGAAGTTTTATTCCAATTGATTAAATAAAACTCACTTTAATTAATTTTATAATTAACATGATTTGCTATCAGGGAAAATACTTAACAGCACTGTGACGTCAAAAACATAAAGAAACGGGGTTTTCAAAAAGACTCTCCCTAAACATTTGCCAACAGCCTGGCGCCATACCCATTTATTAAAAAATATACCATTATACATTGAGCTCGCTACCAATAGTTTAAATAGCATAAGATTGTCATTTTTTGGTCATTTTTTTAACCGTGTAATTTTGGTTTAATTGCTACAGCAAAGAGTCTATCTATCTTTCCATGACGTTATTAATTCTTTTGATCATATTTTTACCGATAATCCGTCTCATAACAGATCGTATAACGTCTGATACAAACAATCTACCACTCAAATTAAAACTTCCTGTGTCATCTACAAGAAAACAAAACTGAATTTGATATTTTCTGCTTCCTCAATCATTTTTAGATTTTTTTTTTTTTTTTAATATTTAAATTTTTTGATGAAGTTTTCCTGGCTGCAAAACAAAATGTTATTGGTAATCAGTGATCCGTGGTGTTCTAGGAAGTCATCTTTTTTGTCTTCTGGAATTAAGTGATTTCTTTTTAACGAAGTCACAATTGGGCATACGAAATGATGTTTCAATTCTTACTATGAACATCTACATGTTTTTCCCCATTTTTGTGTCACTTAACAGAGATATGACTAGAGAAATTATGAATTGAATTGTTTGTAAATAACTTAATTTTGGACTGCTCTTTGATCCCATTTTCATAATTTTAAATTCTGAATAAGTTTGATATATAGATGGATATATTTGATACTTTAAATTCAAACCGTTCGAATTTATTGTTAAAACATGTCTACTAAATTTGGATATTATATGACTTTAAGTAAAATAGTTATGAGAGAAGTCTGCGAGCTTTCCGAACAGCCCTCGTATTTAAGACCTTGTGTAAGATTTTTTTTTCCCATTGAAAAAGTTTCTGTATGTAGAAATTATTGCTCTCTTTTCGTAGTCAAAGTACTATGTTCAATTATTTTCATAAAACATTTTGTTATGACTTCATTTGTGCATGCTTACGGTTATTTCTCCATTTTCATAACTTCTTGTGTTACATTCCCTTCTTCCTGACCTTAATTTACTGTTTATGTTCAGTTTACAATTATTAACTTGTGTAAGCATTCCAACACAATGTTATATTTGGTTTCATGATACCACCATTACAGACTCTAAAAGCCATTCCACTGAATTCAAATTTGTTGCGTAAAATGAATTCAATAAACCTTAAAATATTTATGGTAAAGAAAAAAAGATCTATCTTGTGCAGCTACTGAATGTTATGTTGTAGAATCAATTGTTGATTTAACTTGAAATTCAAAAATTACTGAAGGAGATTATGAAATCTGAATTCTTTTAGAAACAATAATGTCTACAATTGTGTGTGTAATTGTGGTTTGTTATGAAAATGATACCATTTGCTCACAGTTTTATGTACTGCCAAGCAACAGTGAAACGTAAATGTTACATACACCTACTGTGTGTTTTATGTATTGCAAGATTTTTTGTTATTAAGGAGCTTTTCTATCTTTTCTGATATGTAAGAAAGTAAACTAAGGACTTGAAATCGTGACGCTTATTACATAATTATTTAATATTAGATTAACTGTGTATATGAGTGTGAGACAGCCTCAAGATTTCTGTAGAATGCAATAATGTGTATAAAAATTGCAATTCAAATGCAAAATTTTAGACCCTTAAAAGAAACAAAACAATCCGGTCAATTATAATGCGGGATGTATATTTAAGAAAGATAAGAGTTCTATGATATAATAAGGTGACCTAGACAAGGTTCTACAGAACTCTCCATAGATAACAACGTACACTGTGTTTTCAATACATAACCATACTGCAAGAATCTTGTTATGGGATACGAAGGCTTACTGCTGTTTTCCATTCTCTCCTTGGGAATCCTTGGGCTTTCATCGGGAGAAAATATTCATAAAGGTGTGGTATCTCGGGAGGAATTTGAGGATTTAAAGCGGCTCGTTATGGGTTTAAACGAAAAGATTGAAATCCAAGAACAAAAACTGTTAGACCAAGAGAATGAAATAAACAGTCTAAAAGGCAATGTTGAGGAAAGAGATGAATTCATAAAAAAGATGACAACCCTGTCAAAAGAAAATCTTGTGAAAGGCGAAATAATGAGTTTACTGGAGCCCAGGAGAGCAAAAAAGAGCGGTGGTGATAAACGTCTACCTGACGATTTAAACAGAAAATGTATGTAGAATAAAATAACCTATTCTAGTTTATTTACAATTACATGTACCAAATTCGTTGAAATGTAATAATTTTTTCCTAGCATACAAGGGGAAAATTAAACGTAGGTGGGATGTCCCAAAATAATGACACTTGGCTGTTTTCATCCAAATTTATTAATTTTTGATCATTTTATTCATCCCTACCCTTCAAAGTACTCACCCATGGCCTGTATTCACCTTTTTCTTCCCTTAAGGATCAGTAAACAATCTAACAGTGTGGTTTCAGTAAAATATTTACAAGATTTTCAGGCGAAGAAAGTGAAATGACATTATTTTTGGAACACTCCTCGTAAACATATTCGTAAACGCCTGATTTTAACATTAACCAATGCCAGTAGATTAAACTTGATTGCTTTTATAAATAATCAAAGAATCATGTATTAATAAAATAGGGTTTAATTAAAGAAAGATATGTTTTCTGAAGGTCAACAACCCTTTAGATGTCTTAGACTTGAACAAGATAAGAAACCAATTTATTGAATCAAAAATTATTAAACTATTGATGTACGGTTAGATGTTTCCTTTAATATTCTATCAATACTAAAATCACAGCGGTTTTACAGACAGCAGAATAGTCCCGGTTCCAACAGAAGCTGTGGTGGCCTTCTACGCCTACATGTCAGCAAACGAAAACAGTCCAGGTGTCCACCACACCCTTATTTACGATCATGAAGTGACCAATATTGGAAACGGATATAGTAGACATTCCGGAACCTTTACTGCTCCTGTGGCTGGAGTATATGTGTTTACATGGAACACATTCACAGTAACTAATTCCGGTAATCAGTATATGTCAATTGAAATCACTCTTAATAGCCAGCCAGTTGGAGTTACGTTTGTTCAAGGTGGAGGTGATTATGCAGGAGTGACGGGAACTGTTGTACTTTCTATTCAGAAGAACGACGTTATTTATACACGCACACACAAAACGTACGTCCCCGTCGGATCTATTCGAAGTGACAACTTGATGAGATCAACTTTTTCTGGATGGTGTTTGTCTTGCCATTAAAATAAATAATAGAAGGAAAATATGCATATTTTTATTATTTACAGTTCAGAGAAAGACCTATTTGACCAAATGATTTTAATAAAGGCAACTCGTTACGAAAGATGAGGTTACTGTAACTACAAGGGGTATGATTTATATGGTTTATACATGTATATATCCCTGGAATACTTTAGCAGTTTTAAGGATTCAATGATTTTGGTCTCAAGAAACTATTAATTAAATGGTACTTTGTTACTATTCCTTTTTCGTTAAACATTTGTGTACATGTATGTTAAATGTGCATTTGAGGTTAGAAAATGTCACAATAACAGAGAGTTTAAGGTGATTTTTGAGGTATTTAATACCAAACGCTCTCTCTCTCTCTTTGAATCTGTGCTATTTTGAGCCAAACAGGTCATTTGAGAAACTGACTGACTGGAAGAGTAACTTTAGCGTCCTGTGTATCTTCTATTCACTGCTTGTCAGATAGTTATGTCGACTTGTCAAGTCTTTTTGATATCTTGGCACTTATTTAAGTGTTTAAAATTAAGCAAGAAAACGTGTCCATCTCCAGTGGGTCCATTCTTTTCTTACACATCTATAAAAGGATTTGACAAGTCGTCACGAAAATCCGACGAGTTAACATAATTATCTAACAAATCAATAATACGTTCTAGCAAGTTTTCATATTTATGCTTCTCTCAAAATTACGCGATAATAAATTCCCCTCGTATATTTAGGAATGTAGTACTTAATATCTGACAACATAAAGATCTGACAATTTGAAAAAAAATATCCGACATCTGACAAGTCGGCATATTCATCTGACAAGAGGTGGAAGATATATGCCACCATAAATACAATGGAATATAATGATGGATATTTCTAATTTTTTTTTCAACGTTTGACGGCTGATAAATTAATTTTTTCCTATATTAATAATCGTAATAATGCGTGAATGTTCAAACGTTGCTTTTTTTTTTGTAAAACTACAAGTTTAAGTAATCAATTTCTATGCTTGACAGGCATCTGAAGCTACCCAAAAGAAATAATAGATCCATCCATTTGGAACTACTTTTAAATGTACTTATGATGTTGATTATTTTGAATCTGTATACACTTATTTTTCGTCCGTACAAAATGCTTGTAAATGTACTTCCTCTATTTATACAAAATGCAAAAAAAGGCCAGAATACGATTTATGAATATTAAACATTCATACATGTATATTCTAAAGGGCGATAATATGAAAGGGTTAAGTTTTGAAAAATTCTTGGTTTTTGATGTTTGGCGAGTGGAAACGTTGAAGTTCTACTAGTATTTCTACAAATTAAAAAAAACAAACATTGTGTTTGTGTCATTTTATATACCACTTGTAGATCTGAAGATTTAAACATGGCTTTACCTATGTACTATTCTTTAAGGATAAACACGTGTTTATACATGTATACAAATATATATTACTTGTTAATAGACATTTTCGATAAGATTTAAAATGTAAAACAAGAATTCTGAGAGTATTGCATTAGCAATACTAGTCCCCTACCGGCAAGTGTATTCTGGTTCCCGTTCAAACTTGAAAATGATATAATTCGGTCAAAAATCAATAAAGCGGAACGGAATGCAAACTTCATCAAGGTAAAGTCACACACCAAAATCAGCTATTGATAATCATTGTTTCCTTAACTCTGAATATTTAATCAACTCCTTTTAAATTCAATGCACGAGTTACACAACACATTATGTAAAAAAAGTTCTTATTACTCCCCTATCGGTGAAACCAGAGGGGATTATAGATTTCCTCTGAGTCTGTCCGTCCGTCTGTCTAGCTGTCTGTCTGTCCCTCTCTCTGTCTGTCCCACTTGTTTTCCGCACTTTTTTTTCCAAACGCTTGCAGATATTGAACTGAATTTTGGTAAGTGAGTAAATCTTGATGAGTTACAGGTCAAGTTTGCATTTCGTTCCGCTTCAATAATTTTTTGACGGAATTATGACCTTTTTAATTTTTTTGGTTTTTCCGCAATTTTTTTCTGAATGCTTGCAGATATTGAACTAATTTTTAATATGTGACTTTATCTTGATGAGTTATAGATTGATTTTGCTTCATTGATTTTAGACGGAATTATGGCAATTTCAATTTTCAGATTACACTTGCCTGTAGGGGACTAGTATTGCTAATGCAATAGTCTCAGTTTGCTTGTTTTAAGAAGCAAGCAGAAGGTAACGGGGCTTTTACAGCATGTCAAGTTGTATATCACACATTGTCAAGTTCACTTTATTTTCATGTCTCTATCTCCAAAAAAAAAGTTTGTAAACATTTATTCGTCCAAGATCTCTTATCTGTTTATAGCTACCATGCAAATATATGCTAGTGCGACATGGATCCACACTCTGTATATAAACTTTGCAATTCGTAAACCTTTCGTTTGAGAAGAATGTCAAGAAGTTCGCATTTCGCTACAGGTACGTAAATAACATAAGGTAGGAAATCTGTTTTAACTTTGTTTCATGAAACAAATTGTTTAAAGAAATAACTTCTAGTTTTGTAGTTTATGAGGGTACATCCATGTTTAAGTTTCATTGTAACATATGTTAATCTGCAGAAAAGAAGAAGCCGTTTAATGTGGTCAGGTGTGCGACCCAAAAGCCTTAGAACGTTTTACCTTACACGTGAATTTTTTGTGTGTTTCTCGTGTCAATATTGACTCAAACACCATGTTCTGTAAAAAGTAATAAAGACATAAACTATGATGGAATGGAATGATTTTAAATGATTGTATGAATGTATGAAGAAAAAATATAACAAGCGTTTCAGTTAAATACAAATGTACAGAAACATGTATTTCCTTAAAGAAAGCGTTCCAGTATTGTGCTGCAGAGATCCTCAACCCATCCAATCTTACCCCCATACACAAATCAACCTTCCTACATGTATAACCAAGACATTTTAGACCGTTTACATTGGATAAGATCAAATGCATACAGTTTTCTTTTCATATTGTGCTGTAAAATTGATAAAACGTCTGAGTTTTTATCGGATTCCACTTGAATATTTTTGTTCATTACTCTTTTAGCAAGCGATTTTTAATCGTAGGGTAATTCTTTATCTTGTTGCATAATGAGTGATAATTACTGTGGGAATAAGCATTTGAAAAGCTAATCAAACACTCAGTTCTCCTGAAATAGAAAATATCTTTAATATCCCTTTCTCTAATATTTTATAGATAGTGCAAAAATCACTGAGAAAATTTTTTACTGGCCACATTACTTTCCATAGCCTTCCATAGCCTGCAGGGTCTTGCTTATGCTCTTCCTAGTCTGTTTTATTCGGAGAAAGTGGCTGCAGGAGAAGAACAATCATCGACTCAAAGCGTAAATGTAATTTTAAATTATATTCTTGTATTCTCGTTCAAACATGTTTAAAAAATGCCTATCTTGACTTGACCCTTTTATTTCATTTTTTTTCATATATTTCCTATAATGAAATATGAATTCGAGTATATTAAATGTGACTAATATATATTTATGAGATAGGTAAGTATTGGGGTTTTAAGCCAATTTTGTTTATTAACTCTACTTTTTCCTGTTTTTACCTTATGAACAGTGAACAATCTGCATAGCCCTGAAATCAAAATGTAATTGTTTACAAATTGATCAGAAATTCGTTCAGGCATTGTTAGACTCTAACCTTTTTTGGCACTGAAATTAAATATTCTATTGAATATGCATAATCAAGGGAAAGAGCAACAGAAAACAATCTTTGATCATACATGTAAGCAAAGAACTTGCATGTGTAAATTCTCTATATTCCTGTCTATATGATACAATAAAAATAATTAAAAGGACCTCAAAAATGAAGAAAGTGTTATAATTTTATTTGATATTTTATTCTGTCAAAATACATACTTAGACTGGACATCATGCACCATGTCTCCAGTACAGTTTGGGAAGACTCAAAATGAATTGTTTATATAAACTTTGTATATTTTTGTTCCTAGATAAATGGAAAAATAGTGTGTTACATGATTCATTTTCATACATAATTGCCTCTGTACTCTGTCACAACTCAAGAATGATGAACTACATGCCATTCTTCATGCAAATAAGTATTTTTTTGTAAGAATTGTTTTATGAACCCAGTAGCAAACATTGGATGAAAGAAATTAGAAAATCTTCAAAATGTTCCTTATTGAAAGATAACATCACCTCAATCTACACTCTTCTTCACGTATTTCCAATATTTTGTATGTTTTAGCTCAGTTATAACCTTTACACCAAGAATAAATCTGACAGGTTCATGTCAAGAAAATAAATAACTTAAAGAAAGAATGCAGAACAGTAAAGAATCATATTTTCTTTTACAACACTTTATACGTCTTTAAAACTCAACTACACATACATCTTGCTCATTAAAAACGTAAGCTTTAAACAGAATTCACACTGTTAATTATGCAATACTAATGGTTGGTCAATATGCCACATTTACAGGTACATGCAAAATTTTCAGTTTCGTGGAATGAAGAACCCACGAATCAATTACCTCCACGGATTTTAATTTTTCAAACTATGGTATCAAAAACCGTTTTTTTTTTTCTTTTCGATTTTTTCTTGACGATTCAGATAATCGTGGAATACACTAGACAAAATTGCTAACGCACCACCTAAATAAATTAACATTTTTCTTTTCAAAACTTGTTTATGATGTTTTTGATATATAATTATGTTATTTTAATTAAAAAAAATGGGACATTTAAATGCTTTAACTGATAAATAAAAACAATGATTACTGAAGCGTAACCACTTCATAGAAAAAATTAAAATCATATCTATACTTTTTTGGTGGAATAAATTTCTATTTTTTTTTTTTTTTTTGTGGTTGTGGTCTTAATGCTTGTACTAATTAAAAACTCAGGAAAAAAGTTACACCGTATGCGGCGTTTGACTCTAGAAGAGCGTGCTAAGGCAGCCAGTATGGTGTCTGCAGGGTGTTCCTTTGAAGAAATTTGTGAAAAATATAAAGA